TGTTGACACCGTGCACAATGAACAGAATAATTTGAATACTAAATACATCACTGGAGGTCTCACTGAACTGCTATTAGAAACTGTCAAAAAAGCAAACAAAACATTGTTATTTTCCACCAAGTTCTTTATGCAGCCTAAAAACATAATGCCATTATAGGAAAATCAATGGCCTTGCTTAAGAACAGCGTGTTCTGCTCTAGTCAAGCTCTCTCGTTTGCATGGTATAAAGTATTTGGAGAGCCATGATGCAGACATGAGGTATACAATTGGAAGTTATTTGCAAGGTGTGGATGGCTTGGGAATGGGGATATGGGGGAACAACACCAGAGGCTTCAGCTGTATCAGTAGGAAGCAGGAATTCACATCCCTTCTGAAACGAGAGCCACGAGCACACCCCAGCAACACCGAACAGGCTAGAAACTCAGGATCTTGAACTGAGCAGCACAAGCCCAAACAAGACTATGAGAGGGCACTGCATTCACCCCATTAAAATAATCTAATCACTCTAGGCAGAATAACGTACATTTTGGTACCAACAGAAGATCTCAGAAAAACAGGCCAGCTTCTTGGCAGTGGCTAGGAAGAAGCCTTCTCTGTGAACAGGCTCCTTCATAGTTGTCTCATAGCTGCTTCTGCACCCACCTCGGCCTTGGTGTGAAACTGCTCAGACCACGCATTGGTCTAAGCCTGCTGAGCAGCCCCCAGTATGAAGGAGCCGCGTTTCTGACCAAGCAGGCCCAAGTAATGATTTTGGAAGTGGGATTGGTGGGACAATGGAAGAGTTCAAAGACCACAGGACACAGTTAAGGGTCAAGTGCCAAACTGCATGTACAGAAGAGCTAAGGCATTTCTGAGAACATGGAATTAAATATATATATAATTATCAAGAGTTAGAGTTATAATGATAATATATATATTACGATCAAGAAATCCAAGATTTCCTAAGGAACCAGTGCATCTCTATGGAACAGGCCTACTTCCCTCAGAGTAGTGCTGAAGTGAGCTAACAAGTTCAGCCTTGGGTTCCCTTATAAACCTGAAGTAACCCAAGTTAGTTGGCCTCCCTGGCTACTTTAATCCAATGCAGTTACCTCAGGTCAGTCAACTCAAACCAAAGGCCTTTCTTCATTTTGCACTGCAAACCAATCCTCACGTACTATGTTACACTTCAGGCCAGGTTAGTATAGCGGGAAATTGGCAGCAAAGCTGGCAACTTAAAGGTAGGGTTTTATTTTCACTTCATGTAAAAGAGCCTATCTTAAGGTTTCCAGTATTCCAGACGAAACAGCACTGCTTTTCTTTCCTGCCTCGTGCTCCAGCTCAAACGAAACCAACCGTGAGGTTAAAGCCTAAGTGTATAACAAGTCATGAGGACCTAAATTCTCTCAGTGAAGGACCATGAGCACTGAAGGTTTGCTACTTCAAAGTCAAGATCAAGGGGATATCGAGCTCAGTACAGTTGTCAATAAGGCCAACATAGCAAAGCTAGCACTTTGGGTTTGGAGTAGAAGGCCTGAAAAACCACTCCAGGTAATGTGCTTTAATCTTAAACAGAAGCAGCACGATAAAGCCAGGTGTTACACATCTATCACAAAAAACAGCATTAACAGAAACTACACGGACTGCCTAAGTACTGAAGAATCTTTCACCAAGAGGTCACCCCCCCCATGAAGATGACCCAGCCCACATAAGCAAGACTTTAGCTTAAGGATTACTACATGATCAGTACAGTGAAGCGCACTCTACTAAACACTGGCCTACATCAAATATTGCTAATTTCTCCTCAAAAAATAGCAAAATAGGGAACAGGTTTCAGCCAACACCCTGCCAACACTGCGCGAGGGAAGTATTTATCACCTTGAGTGCAGAAGAAAACCACCAAGTGTAGCCTTTTTGCCATCAGAGTAAAACCAGCAGACAGTAGGCAGTCAACATAGCACCCACTACAAAATTAAGTTGTGTCTACACCGTATTTGTAAGAGCCCAAACACTTTGGCACAACAAATGCTAAGGTCCGATAGCCTGAGGAGTGTTCCAGGTGCACGTTTATCCTCCTCGGGAGGAGCCCGTTACTCACATCTACTCCAAGCCAGGATATGTAGGCTGTACCAGAAGCACCACCAGCGTTCAGAGAAGGGCGACGAAGCTGGTGAGGGGCCTGGAGAGCAAGTCCTATGAGGAGCGGCTGAAGGAGCTGGGCTTGTTCAGCCTAGAGAAAAGGAGGCTCAGGGGTGACCTTATCACTCTGTATAAGTATATTAAAGGAGGCTCTAGCGAGATGGGGGTTGGCCTGTTCTCCCATGTGCCTGGTGACAGGACGAGGGGGAATGGGCTAAAGTTGCGCCAGGGGAGTTTTAGGTTAGATGTTAGGAAGAATTTCTTTACTGAAAGGGTTGTTAGACATTGGAACAGGCTGCCCAGGGAGGTGGTTGAGTCACCATCCCTGGAAGTCTTCAAAAGACGTTTAGATGTAGAACTTAGGGATATGGTTTAGTGGGGACTGTTAGTGTTAGGTCAGAGGTTGGACTCGATGATCTTGAGGTCTCTTCCAACCTAGAGATTCTGTGATTCTGTGATTCAAATCCCAGTCAAGACTGATGCAGATCAGATCTCCACGCATTGGTCTGTTTTCTGAAACATTACCTGTTAGGTACCGCCGCGAGATCAGCACTAACTGGTAATTCCAGCGACTTGCTTGTAACGTTCCTTGGTAGATTAGCTAGCCAGCTACCACAGGTACAAAGCTCAAATTCATTTGGGCAGTGCTTAAGGCTGCCAGCATACTTCACAGATGACCGGTTCGCAACAGTCTACTACTTTAAAACAAGCAGATTTCAAATATTTTAAACTTTTGATTTAGCAGGCACATTACTTTGCGTTTCAGAAGTTCACCATCTGCTGGCTTTACCTTTTAAGTCTCTCCGCGCTCCGGCTGCGCAGCCATCTGGGATGAGATAATTTGAACAGCAGACTGTTTCCTCCCATGCTACTAGAGAGGAAGAGCAGCCAAGCATGTATGAATAAAGTCTATTTCATTCTTTCAAACAAAGGTGGAGGAGGAGGATTTGAAAGTTTAAAAAAAAAAAAAAAAAAAAAGAAAGAGAGAGGAGGGGGAGAGGAAGAAAACTAAAAATGGCAACCCCACTTTCCATCTACAAGCGCACCATGGCTACCAGAGCTGAGTCACAGCTACTATGGGAGATAAATGAGCAGGAGAGAGCAGAGCCTGACTTGCAGATCCCAAGGTGAATTTGCAAGGCGGGCAGCTAGAATGCCTTTGCATTTGTGAAGCAAAAAGGGGAAAAGTGGGATCGGAGTAAAGCAAAGCAGCTCAGCCTCCATCTACTGAGTTGTTTTTCCAACTGAATCCAGCTAAAGCCTTTGAACCTCCTGTCAGTTACCTGGTGTGAATCAGGCAACACCCCTGAGGTTAAGGGCATCCACACGGACTCAGGAGAACCCAAATCTGCATTTTCTGCAGGAAAAAAGCTAAGATACTAAATGCCAGCATTTTAAGTAAGATGGGCATAAAAAGAACTTCAATTACCCGGCATCTTAAAAATGCATCCTTTCGCTATCAACTGGCTTTGAGACCGTGCCCCTCCTATGCTAATTCTTCTCCACTAAGCTGCAGTCACCTCAAATCCTTTGCTATTCAGAACACCTCAGCACGCACAGGAAGCAGCCAGGAAGATTATTAAAAAAACTCCAGTTTATTACTACGTCAATCAAGTTTGCTTTGTTCAGTATGGTAAAAATAGTCAGACGTGGTGGCAGAAGCGGCAACGTTTAAAAAGGTTGCACTGTGACAGTTCCCGTGCAAGGTGCTAAAAAGGGAGCTGTGCAACCATTTAAAGAAAAGGTAACTCCTCTGTACAGAAATAACACTTACTGTGTCACTGTCAGCTCTTTCTGATATCTTGACAAGCCCGTGCTTCAGGCACGCTGCTTGTCTTATTAGAGGGAAGCACCACAACACACATCCTACACTTTGTCAAAAGAGTAATTCTCACCCAAAATCATTTTAAATTTGCATGACAGCACAAAGGTGAATTCAGAAGCAGCCAAGGGAATGCTTTGAGGACTGAGTGCCTCCAAAGGGGCACGGCTTCCCTTTAGTGTTACAAAAACACTAGCAACAAAAACTTCGGTAAGCTGGCCATGGACAGCAATTCTTTTTCCACCTGTTAAACATCAGTTAACTCCCAAACGCTCTCATGCACAAGCATCCACTCCCTTCCCCGCAGACCTGACACCTCCTGGTCTTCTCCAGGAGCGGGGCTCAACTCGCGATCGATGTTCTAGCATCCAGTCTTTCACTCCTCATAGACAAAACCGTAAAACCTGCTTGCTGAAATTCTCTCAGAAGGCAAGTTTGAAGAGACAGGGGATTAGAAAGCAATCGATGAGAACCGCAGCAAAGCAACAATTTACTCAGCAGGGCTGTCTTGATAAAAATCTCACCGACGACTTCTCCCTCACCTTTGTGATTTAAGTTCATCTGCTCCCCGCTGCCTCAGCCTCCGAGCGGCAGAAGTCAGAGACCCTGCCCACCAGCCCGCAGCCCCCGGGGGACACACAGCCCCAGCAGCCTGCACAGTGTCAAGATTCCAGCGCTCGGCAGGCAGACGTCGCTGCTGCGGGGAAGCTCCAAACCACGTACCTGTAGTGCTGCGAATGCTCGCCAAGAGGAAGCGGCAGAGACAACGGGCTGCGGCTATTCCTTGACCCTCGATAAACTGAGGAAGAAAGATCGTAACCATCGTCCCCGGGGGTGTTCAGAAGCAAGACCTCACTCCGAGGAAAACCAAGCTCTGTCCAGCAGTAAGCAAAGAGAAGCGCCTCGCAAGGTTGCCTCCAGAGCCAATTTTTATGAGCTGCTGGAGCTTGCCCCACCTGGCCTCTAGACTGCCTGTGATCATCTCTGGGAGCAAAGAGTCATCTGGCCAGCCATCCGATGCACTTAGGAAACAGCTGCACTGGATAAAGAAGACAGTTCATCTTTGTAAGAAACAATATATTTTATTTTTCTGACACCACAGCCCTGGCGAGTGGTTTTGTACCAAATTTAATGGAGGTTACACAGAACGTTTTACGCTGGGGAGGAAAAAAAAATAACCACAAAAAAAATCCTGGATAACTTTTAGTGTCTGTTCCACTCCCACATTAATAAAATCACTTGGGGTTTCTAAGAAAAGGAGAATAGGAAACAGTGAGAGAGACTACTGTAGAATGTAACAGTGTCCAAGTCCAGCCCCTTCCTAAAAGTGGGAAGAGTCCCCACAGGAGGAGAGGCGCTCCTAGGTTTACCCCCCAAAATAACACAATGTATTGCAGCTGCCATAGGAGGAGACAGAAGGGGGACGGAGAGAGAGAGAAGCCTATTTAATAAAGAGTGGGAGGGAGAGACAGAAGGTGCTGGACAGCACGCCATAATTTGAAAAATATGTCCTTAACTTATTATTTATTTCTTTTAAAAGATTCCCCTCACTGAACTTAAGTTCCTTTTTGTGCTTTTCATTAATACTCTGCTCTGAGGTCGTAGTTTGGTTTTTCTATACATTGGAGTTGAAGGAAAATAGTCCGAAGTTCTGAAGATGGATTCTCCACCTAAAGTAAACAGCCTAGAATCCCATTCTCCTCTCACCCCAAAGACTAAAGTCTCTGCTAAAATCCCTTTTACAATATAGTACAGTACACAAAAAACCCCAAAAATAACCGAGAGTCCTGGGAGAAGCCAGTCCGAAGGACGTAAACATACAGAGAATGGTGCAACTTGTGACAAATGGCAATTCTCAAAATACAGCTACAGATTCTCAAAGCAGGTGCCATCACGGGATACCCAAGTCCACAAAAATAATTTTTAAAAAATAAATCTTAAAAAAAAACAACCTGTTAAAATGAATAATTTTTTTTTTCAGGTAATTCCATACATTCGAGATTTCCCAAAGCGTCCTCTGGTCTCTTTTCACCTATTGCATGGCCAAACTGTACTCCTGAAGCTCCCAAAAAAGCCCTCAGGACTCGGAATCTCATCTTCACAAGGATCAGAACATCCAGTCTTACGGTAGCAGCTTAAAACATCATGTTCCCTGGGTTCCCAGGGCCTTGGCTAAATCCTCCCATGCCCACGTCAGCAGCCATGCCTCGGGGCCTCATCTGGGGGGGAATCATGATGTTCTGTTGGGGTCCCATCATGCCCTGCATTGACATCATCATGCCGGGCGACCCGACGGGGCCCGGGTGGCTGTACAGCCCCGCGGGGGCTCGGTCCTTGCCCGGGATCATGCCCACGGCGGCCACGGGGTTGCTCATGAGCGCGGGCTGCCCGGGCATCGCCGTCTGTGCTGGTGCCATCATGCGGTGGTGCGGCCCCATCATGCCCTGCTGCAGGAAGGCCGGCGGTCTCATCGGGTTGTGGCCCGGCATGGACGGGGCCGTCCCGAGAGGGATCTCCGGAGTCCCCACCGGCCCGGGGCCCCCCATGCCAGGCAATGTTAGTCCCATCCGCGGGGTCTGCTCTCCGATCATCCCCTGCATGTGGGAGAAGCCGGGCCCGGGCCCCTGCGGTTGCTTGCGGCCCGGCACCTCCCCGCGAGGGAAATACTGTAGTGTCTGGCTCGGCTTCTCCGACGGGATAATCCGGGAGAGGTCGAACTCGGGTATTCCCGTGGCTCCGGGACGGATCACCTCCTGCAGCTCCGGATCGGTGAAAACCGAAGGCATGTTGTTTCCAAGAACAGTGAAGGAGTCCGGACCGCCAGGGCCTCCAGTCTTGCAAAGTGCTGGATCTGTCGAGCTTTGGGGCAGGTTGGTAGGACGCCCCAGAGGTCCTTCTCCGTGGAAGCCCATTCCCGCCGGGAAGTTGCCTTGCCCGCCGCTCGGCCCGTTGTGGGGAAATGGCACCTGCTGTGGAGGGGACTGTACGGGAGGGAACCCCTGCGGGAAGCCCAGGCGTCCTTGAGGTACCATTGGAGACTCTTGGGAACCGTGCCCCATCATCGGGTTGTGTGACATCAGGCCGGGTCCCACGGGGACCCCGTGAGGAGGTATATTGGGTCCCATAGCATTTGGAGAGGGCATCTGGTTGTTGTGGGAAAGAGGCTGGGTCATTCCCATTGGGCTAAGGGTTGGCATTGGACCCACTGGGTTTGGACCTGAAATTCGAGGATTCTGAGAATTAATGCCCATTCCTAGGGAAGAGACAAGGAATCGGATTTAGGTAACGGCCAAGCATAAGCAAACAAGGAAAACAGCAGAGAGCTTTCTGCAAGGCTACCACATCCACCAAAAAAATAAATTCATTTATTGCTAGTAAAAGACAGCAACAGCAGTGGCTCTGGAGAGCGCCATTTGAACCAGAAAACTGATGCCACCTGCACAGCAGCCTCCCTAAGCTCGTCACTGCTCTAGCAAGAAGGGCCTAAAGCCTGCTCTGGAAGTAGGATCTCAGCCCGGCTCATACCTTTGCTACTTTCCTGGCAGTCTAGACGTGGCAGTCAGTGACAAACAAGTCTGTGGCAGATTATCAGCACATGGACACTTGTCCACCAGGAGGTGACTGACTCTCCTTTCAAAACCTAAGAAGCGATGAATCAGGTAACGCTGATAAGCCTAGGCGGTGGCGATTGGCGAGGTTAATGAGCTAGCATCCAACTTACTCAATTAGTCAGCTTTCCCAGGTATATTCAGCAACTCTTATCATTAGTGTGCGAAACAGATAGCGAAGCTACAGGTAAACTCATCAAGAATTCATTACCAGTTGCTGCTCTCTTCAAACATCCAGTCATCCCCTCTTGCAACTATTAATTCAACCGGGCGGAGGGCCTACAGCCTACTTTTTTATTAAATACAGGTCTACCCATCAACGTTAAACTGTCAGCAGAAACTGGATTTATTGTATGAGCACACTTTTCTGTGAGAGAGCCCTAAAGAACAGCATTTTATTTTGCCTTTCCTCCCACTTTCTGAGGTAGAGACCAGGACAGTTTGCCTCAATCCCGGTTGAGGTCGCCTGCCTTTACACACTACTCCCTTTACCAGAAAATGTACATTTTGAGAAAGTCTGCTAACATTCTTCTGTAAGAAAGGCAACACACAAAAATAGTGGAGAAGACCAGATGATCCAGTGTCAACAAAAAAAGAAACCTCGTGGTGCTTCTATGACACTGTCTAAAAACAAGGGAAGAATGGTTTCTTCTAGGTAACACATTGTAGGTCTGATGATTATCCCCATGAACAGCCTTCACTCACACAAGTTATCCCGCTTGTGGAATAAGAGTGGGAATCTCTCCCATACATAAAACACCCCATGACTATATATCCTTTAATGTTTCCCCTCTCACCACCTTCATATGAAGCTTCATTCATATGAAGCTTCCATACCAATCACTCTCACTGCACTGCCCGAAAGCTTGGGCTTACATTGCCTCAAGTTTCTTACCTGGTACACTGTTCATAGGTGGCAAATTTGGGGAGCGTGCCGGAGGGGAGTCATCATCTGAGCTGGCCACGGTTTTGATGGCATCATGATAGAGCGGTGTCGAGCTGGGCATGGCAAATTTGGACATCCTGGACATCATGATGGACAGAGGGTTCTGGGAGAGGGTTGGCTCCGGAGGCATTGTGTAAGGGCTGCTAGAGGGAAGATTTCCAGGGAGAGTCGCAGGAGCAGACTGGCTGACTGTGGAAGGAGGTGGACCACCTTAGAGGGGGAAAAAGGAGGAGAAATGATTTATTTTTTTCACCGTTTTTTTCCTTAAATCACACCCTCTTCTCCTAGGGGATCTCAAAAACTTAAAAACCCTTTCATTAAAAGGGACCATCTGACTCATACAGCCAACACCTGTGAAAAGTAACCAGAAAAATAAGCCTGTTGGTCAAGATTTGGTAAACATTTGTTATCCTGGATTCTGCACTTCCCCTGGAACTCTCAGGAGCCTGTACAAATCTACAAAAAACACCACCAGGTACGTCTGAAATCCCTACAGTTCACTTTCCAGGCACTGAAGACACACATACGTGCTACGTCTAGCCATAAAAATCCAAATAAATACCCAGTCAGTTAACTGATCCTGCGCCCACCAGATGTCAACTGCAACTCCCTTCCCTTTTTCTTGAAGCAGCACCAAGCGAACACAAAGGATGCGTGCGGTGCGATGAAAAGCTGGAGTAGATATTACGCTGAGACATGTGGGCAGATTTCTGACAAGCTGTATCAGAGCAGCTACAAGCAAAACTCCTTGTTTTAATTTCATTTCTGCTTTTACATATACGTATTTACTGCTTGATCCCGTTAAAGAATTCTCTGCACTTATTAGCTCACTGTAATCATCCTCTCTCCCCATACTAGAGGTAACTGCACCTCCAGCCTCCTTTGTCCTTCAGCCACGATCTCCACGTCACATTTGAAGAAAAAATGCTGAATTGCTGGCACAGCCCGGCCAGCAACCCTGCTCAGCGCTGCAAGGGGTCAGCCTCCCTGCAGCACCACTGCTGGGATTCCCCTGCTCTCAGCAGGCAGGCGCCGTCCCCCCAGCGCTGCCTGTTACCCGCAGCAGCACTAGAGGGCAACGTGGGCAAACCTCTCCCAGCTCAGAGGTTTCCCCAGGCCGGAAAGCTCCCGAGCTTGGAGCCTGGCTGTGGGGAGATACACAGGGTGAACAGCCCCAAGCTGTTCAGGAGCAGGCTGGGCTCTCAGACCTCTGTGCCAAGGTCCCAGGTCACAGCAGGGCTCTGGTTTGCTATCAAAGGGAGATCATACAGTGCCCGCTGGCTGCTCAGCTCTCTCCAAAGCGCTCAAAGCCCAAACATTAGCACATCTCCTCATCTGGGCTGGGACACCTGGAAAGCTGTAATCACACCTGGACATGCAACTGGCCCCTACGCTCTGCATGTCTTTGTCGGAACTTTTTATTCCGAAGCATTTCGTACCTCTACACCCAACCTGTTACTTTGCTGTCCCCCCAGCCACCAGCCCTCACCCCCAGAAGCTAGGGCACAAGACGGAGTTGGGACGAGGAGGAGGCACTCACCCGACTCCACGTTCCCCAGCATGGCCGGAGACGACATGGTGAGAGACGCCTTGTGGTTCGGGGGAATCCCGGGGCTCTGCAAAGGAGGCTTTGGAGACGAAGTCCATCCCGGAGAAGGTGCGGGGAGAGACGGAGACTTGAGGTGGACAGGAGAAGCAGCAGCAGACCCCAAGACCGGGGGGGACTTAATGGAGGCAGCGGCAGCTGCGGCAGTGGGGCCCGCGAGCATCCCTGCCAGCTGGGAGGGCGTCTGGGGGGACTTGAGGTTCCCCGAGGGAGACCCCATCATGGGAGACTGCACCTGGCGCATGGTGGGAGACTTCAGGGGGTTGATCCCCGGAGAATGCACCTGACCGGCTGCGGAGATATCCAGGGGCTTGCGGCCCAGGCTGCGCTGTGCGGGGGGAGCAGTGTTGAGGCTGTTGGGGTTACTGGTGGGGTTGAGAGGTAGTGGCGGCATGTGGCTGAGCCGGTTGTTAGTCCTTTGGTCAGGCCCCATCTGTTCTCTGAGATTTCGGAGGCCAACTCCTGGGCCCTGAGACATGGGAAGGAAAGGCCTGGGACCCATGCCATACTCCTGCTGCGGGTGCTCCCCGAACGGCAACGGCACCATCTTCTGCTGGGAGGAGAGCATCTCCGAGACGCCGGGCCGCAGCTTCATCATCTCTTCCGGCCCGACTCCCGCCTCCCTCAGCTTCTGAGGTACCAGGGGTGGGTTGGAGCCCATGCTGACGTTCATGCCCATGTCCCCCTTCATGCCGCCGGGGCCCATCCCGAACTCCAGCTCCCTGCTGGAGCCCATCTGGGGGGGGATTCCTTTGGGGAAGTCCCCCCGGGAGGGGCTCATCGGCCCTTCCACCGGCATGCGCGGGAAGATGGGGTTATTCCCGGGCTCCATGTGTCTCTGGGAGGGAATCATCCTGTTGATCTCCATGCCAGGCCGGATGCCCTCCATGTTGAGGCCCGGGGGGAGGCCCATCTGCTTCTCAGCCAGCTGCTGCTGATAGATCTCTTCAGGCAGGCCCTGCGGGTTGGGGAACCGCTCCCCTCGGCCGGGGCCGCTGAAGACGCCCTGGCCGGGAGGGAAGTTGCGGCCGTCTGGGATTTTTGGCACGTCGTCTGGCCAACTGACCCCTGAAAGCCCCGGCCGGGAGGCGGGATTTGGGACGTTGGGGCCCTCCATGTCAGGGTTCATCATTCCCGCGAAACCGGGCAGGCGCATCTGGCTCCCGGGCATGTTGGGATGAGGGGCCATGCCCCTGGGGGGCAGCGAGTGGGACATGTTCATGCCCTCGGGGAAGGGCTCGGGACCCCCGGGCCCCCAGCCTTCCCCTGGGGTCATCTGGTAGGGGGGGGGAGGGCCTCGCACGACGCTGCGAGGCCCGTGCTGGTGGACCATCATGTCCTGCAGGGAACACTGCTGCACGACCACCTGCTCTTGCTTCCTCCTCTTCTCCTCGTAAAACTCCTGCTGCAGCTTGAGCCAGGCCACCTGCTCGGGAGTCATGTGGTCCAGGTGGTCGGGGCCGATGGGTCCCGACTGGGAGTTCATTGGTGGCGGCCCCATTTCGTCTGGGGAAAAGGGCATGTCCCTGTGTCCTTGAGGGCCAAACGGAGCCCCTCCATCTGTCCGAGACCCTGACCCTTTGCCTAAACTTTGGGATTGAGCCATCATGGCCTGTATCGGCCCTTCGGGTTTCTTTTGGGGACCATCCAGCACCCCAGAGTTGGGGGGCGGCCCCCCGCTCTGCCCTCCCGCAAACTCCTTCTCGTCGGGGAAGAGCATGCGCTGAATGTCTCTCAGGGTCTGCAAGGAGCGCTCCCGGTGCTCCAGCTGCTCCTGTGACAGCCCGTCCGGATTCTCGCCCAGACTGGACGGGTCCCCACCAGACACCGGCTGGGGAGGACCTTTGGGGTCTGCAGCAGAGCTATTGCTACCTTGGGACACCGGGCTCACTGCGCGGTTGTTGGGGGTCGAACTCTGCCCGAATCCTTCCGTCTGCAGTGGGGTGGAGTTGGCGGGGCTGCCCACCGACATCACTTTGCTTTCCACGCTGGGGCTGTCCTGATCTATGGGACACGGGGGACCAGTGGGTTTGGACACCGGTGCTGACACGGGTGGAGTCGGCTGCATTTTGGCGTTCTGGGGAGGGTTCTGGTCCTGGGCGGCGGGGGGCTGAGGCTGCGGCAGGGGCTTGGGTTCAGTCCGAAGTGCAGAGATCTGGGGGTTCTGAAAGAGAAAGCCACGTGCCATCACTCCTCTTCTCACGGCTGTGCCACACAAGCAGAGGTGCCAATGAAATGCCCTGTCTCGACCCCCCCAGCCCACGCTCCACAAGGAAGGGTAGCCTCCATGCAGTCTTTACGGAGCGGCATCTTGGCTGTACGAGAGAGATTTTGCTCACGCATTACAGCAGGTACCCCTTGCTTCTGTGCAGGCTCTGCGTGAGCAGTGGGTTGGAAATACACCACCCAAATACTGCGAGACTCAAACTCCTCTTTGGATAATCCAAGACATTTATTTGAGGAAGGCTAGGCCAACTCTCCCTCTCTTTTCCATCCTACAATTTATCCCAGAGCATAAACAACCGTCCCTCTCTCTGAATCACACACGTACAAGCACATTTACCATTTCCCTTCCCACCCACATGCAGGTAACTCCCTACCAAGGGTACAGTGTTTCGTTCCGCCTTGCTGTTTGAGATGTTCTGGATATGAAAGGACACGATGGTTTCCACCTGTCCCTTCAGCACGGCTTCTGCAGCCCTGCAAAGACAGACAGACAGACGTACATATCCAGGTGAAGCTAAGAATCAAATTTTCCTAACCATCCTCCCCTTCTATCCTTCAGCTGGCAGAAGGGAGAAAGACTCAAACACACGTATTTTTATTCCAGATGAGTAGCAAGAGAAAGATGCTCACATCTACAAACTCATCGCCATTTAGGGGTCATGTCTCGGTTTAAGTCACCCCAGCTGTACTCGCTGCATGGACTGCAAACCAGTATCTTATCAGCATTTGCCAAAACTGCACCTCCGAGGACAAAACAATCACTTTTTGGAGAGCAAGAGGCAGTGACATTCCCCACTCCAGCCCTTTCGGCATCTCCAAAACAATTAAAAATGTCTTTTTGCTACAAAAACACACCAGATGGAGGAAAGGCACACGAGAATTTCATAAGAAGGGAGCACAGATCTAAGCCTTGCTTTCTGAAGGCATTCAAGCATCTACCTACTTGTTGGCCATCTCAGTAGAAAAGACGTAAACCACTTTGGATGGAGTCTTCTGGCCACTTGCTGGCTCCAAAGTAGCAGTCAGGCCATGGGAAGGTGTGGAAGACCTCGGGGCTGAAGCATTTGAAGGAGTCATGGAGTGTGGGGTGTGCTGAGAATCCTGGGACTTCACGTGATCGGCAGAATTGCAGTCTGGAAGGGCGAAAGAGGGAAAGAGGGGAATCACGATCCTGGGAGCTCTTTGGGAACCATTCCTGGTTCATATTTGGAAACAGAGATTTTCCTCCTCTGAAACTTCCCGCTTCCCCCTCACGCACTGCTAAAGGCGATTCTTCCGTTACGCCACACACCCTCCCCCCAGTGCCTCCATGCTGCTACAGGCCCTGCTGGCAGAAAGCTCAGCCTGTCCCATTTGGGGACAAGGGGCAGCTCCCAGAGCCGATCCCGTTGCATTCTCTAACGGTCACACAGAATAGCAGGAGAACTAGACAGGGAGACATCCAAATATACAAGTGTCTGCATCTAAGGAGAACACACTGGGCCAAACCCAGCTTTTTCCCCCTCCTCTTCAGCCACCTTAGCCAGGAGACCTCGCAAATGGGCAATAAACAAAAGATGGACAACTGCCCACCTCATCTGTTTTCCCACCGCCTCACAAGGGCAATATTGGAGCCAGGAACAGAACCCAGAAATCCCAACTCTCTGCCTTGTGCTACCAGCCAGGGTGCTCCGGGTTATGTATCTGTGTTGACAAAACAGGCTTGCATATTGTTCAAAACCCCAGTTACAACAGAGCAGTTCCTGAAAGGCCAAAGGCCAGAAGGAAACCAACAGGTTGCATTTGTACTTTCAAATCCTGCGGGGGAGTTTCAGAGTTACAAAGGAACTTTCCCACCAGAGCCAGGCCTGCACGTCAGCTGAACATGATGAGAAGAGACGCGTTTACCGATGCCGGCTACGACAACCTCCCCTCTTTGCTTGCCCTCAAGACCCTTGGACATCGCTGGCTGGAACTTAGAGAACCAGAGGCAAAGAAACGTTTTGCTGACGCTTGCCTAGCACTTCTTCATCCCACAGAGGACACCTACTAATTGCCTGCATTTGTGCCCGTACCCTAGCAAACGTACCTTTGATTTCAGGGTCGTCATTAGGAGTCCCGGCTTCCCTCTGTTCAAAGGAGTCTGCCGAAATGCTTCTCTCTCTCTTCCCCTTCCCCTTGGCACCATTTCCGGCCCCATTCTTTAGCCCCATGCTCCCACCTGGGCCGGGGAGCACTTTGGGGGGGTGACCTCCACTTTTGGGGTCACAGGGAGAGGGCTGGGATTGGCTGGTGGAGCCCCCTTGTTTGCCCTGGTTGGAAAATTTGGAATCCAGCTGGGGGTTGCCAGACGGGGACATCACTGTAGGGGGACGGACCATCACCTCCTGCTTTGATTTGGGGCTACTGGGGACAGAGGGAGGAAAAAAAAAAAAGGAAAGAAAAGAAAGTGACAAATCAGTCCACGGATTCATTCAACCCTGTGGGAAGAGAAAGCAGAAACAACCAGTGCCACCTCTGCGAGCTAAGACAATTGCTGCCAAATAAGAAATGCCTGCAAGCTTAGAGTCATCCAGGTGCTTTTTTGAGCGTGCCCTGAAAGGGTTATTATCCAAGATGGGATCTCATTGCTCAAGAAGGCACCAGGGCAGGCTGCGGACCTGCCAGATCCCGGGAACTGCTGTCACATGAGGACCTACCTCTGGGGCTTCTGTCAATAAAGACAACGGTTTCTATGTGCACAGAGAAGCGCCTCACACCAAGCGCAGCTCAGAGTAAACAGAGGCGGCACAATAAAGTTCACCTCACCACTCTCCCGGACCCAAATCACACAGCGCAGCTCCCATCTGAGCAGACCCCCCCTGCTCCTCCCTATCCAGTTCTACAGGGAGCACAAGGAAAACCCAGCATTACTGCGGCATTCATCATACGTTGGGGCGAGCTGCCAGGAAAACACAAACCTCTGACCGTGAAAACAATTAAACCAGCTTCAACCTGCCTCTGAAGAAGGAAAGGGAAGGATAGCATCTCCCTGCACGCTCCTGCAAAATGGGGCAGATGAAGCTTCTTGCATTTGCCAAAGGAAATGCAAAATCCTTTCCTCCCCTCCTTCATTCAGCCGATTGCATCCTAAAAATATTTTGCTCCCCTGGGTTTTGCACACACATCAGGCATCCTGTCCTCCTCAGCATCCAGTCACTCCATTGCTACCGGATCTCCTGCATTTTGGTTTCCCATCACCACTGCTTCCGGCAGGCAGTGCTCGCTAGCATCCTCGCTGTGGGACTGGCGCGTGCCAGCTCCTCCTTTGGACAGGCATCTGCCTCAGAGGCATTCCCTCTGAGTCACTCCCAGCTCCTGGTGACCTCTAGGAGTAAATAATCGAACCGGAGAATGCTGTCAGTCAGACCACTGCGAGTCCCCGGACGCTTTTCACTTCCAGATTTTTCCCCTTCCAGCTTAGCGGAGGAGAGATGCTGACCCGCTGCACTGGCAGGTGAACGGTCTGGAGGATCTCGGGGCACGGCTGATCAGTTCTCCAGGCTGCTTCGGCACACAGCGGGAGGGAAGCATTTTGTGTGGAAGTACAGACAGAGACCTTCTGCTGCCCAACTACCCCTCGGGGAAACAGATAATTAGAAGGGGTTGAGGGGAAGAGCACAAACGGATAGAAACGGCACGTTCGCTCTCCTCCAACCTATTTAGACACCTGGTGGAAGGGAGGAGGGCAGGAGGAATAGAGAGGCCAAACCCCACAGGTTAAGAGCTCTTTCAGCTCACCCCAAAACTAACGAATGTGGGGGCTCATCCACACCGTGCAGCCAGCGCCCAGGTACCCAGCACACCCGACAGGAGCGCAGAGGAAGCTCGGTAAGTCGCATGCACCAGTCCTCAGCTCGCACCGCAGCAGAGCAGGGACAGCACCATGCGCTGCTGGCTCTTTTCCTTACCTCTGTGTGTTGCCTGACGGGGAGTTCCTCACTTTGGGGTTACTGGAATGCATTGACAGAAATCCTGAGCTCACAGTCTCACACGCAGGCAGATGGGCTCTCGTCAAGTTCCTCTGGGGACTGTGCCACCAGAGGCAGCTCTGAAGCACTTTCTGCCACCCGCTTCTCTCAGCGCTGTCTGTCTGCTTGCCTTTTTTCTCTTTGCTCCTCTCTGGTTTTGCACGGGGCGCTTCCCTCCTGCAGCTCCAGCATTCTCTAGACGCGTGCCTCCTGCTGCCCAGGGGAAGTCTCGCATCTCCAGGGCACACTGTTAAAACCAGCCCACAAGAAGAGAAGAGAAATCTGGTGAGGAACTCTGCGAGCAGACGTGTCTGCGAAGCAGCACATGGCAGTCCTTGCCCGTCACTGTGAAGACGCAGGAGAAGAGCTCTCAGATGGCTCTGCACAGCTGCGTATTTCAAAGCAGAGGCAGCCCCGGCCGGCCGCTCGGTTTACAGGCAGCGAGGCCAAGCTTCCCTTCAGCCACTCAAATCGCGCGGGGAAGCTTCTCGTACCTGGAAGCTTTGATTCCGTGTCTGTGCTCAGCTTGAAGACACCTCACAGCAAATCAGCAGGAAGCCAAAATGACAAATCCCCCACATGACTTAGCTATCCAGAATTCCCCCGTGAACGGCCATAATCTGATATTTCCTAAGAACATAAACTCTGCTCAAATCTTTTCTGTCTCCTTGGTCCAATATAACCAGACATAAGTTCATTGATGTGTGCTAACAGTTGCACAGAGGGAGGAAAATAAAATAAAACGCCTTCCTGACCACCTGTAAGCAACCAGCTATGCTGTGATTACTCTGTAAATACCAGAGAGGTTAGTCAGTCATTATTTCTATTAGAAAGGCCAAGAGATCGCTAGAGAGCTGCCCCTCTAAATTTGCTCAGCAACACTGTACAAACTATCAAGACCTTAAAAAAATAAGAATAATAAAAAAACACACACAACAAAATAAGCATTTTTTTTCAGCTTCTTGCTAATAAACAAATATGCGTGATGCAGGCAACACGACACTTACAAGTGTTTCTGGGAGAAGAAACTATTGAACATTACTGTTTATGTCCTTTGGGCTAAATTATTTTGGAACAAATTTCTGTCTTGTTTATGCTTCAACAGAATCTCTTCTGCTCATCTCATCTACTCAGATGCAAATCCACTTAATTTAGAATCTAACCAAGATTTATTGTTAATGTATTAAGCAATGCTAGTTAAATATTATTCAAATGTAAATATTCCTGGTATTCCTCCTCAGCACCGAAGAAGCAGTTTCTTCCTGTCTGTATCAAATGAAACAAAATAAATCTCATCGGACTGGGAGCACCTTGAATATTATGGATAGACAACTGTTTGGATTGTTTGTAAAAAGGAAAAAGCACTTTGCTTATGTGTTGACACCGGAGGACTAAGAAACTTGTGTACTTTATGACCACCTCTGGCCAAGGAGAGTTCTCAGTAACCTGCATTATCGAGCAGCTGGTTCTCTGGTTCCCCAAAACGATCTCATTGTGAGGCTGTGGTGCCATTACACATTTTAGTGACTTTGTATCACTGCACTTTAACAGGATAGCACCCCACAGTCCCTCCTCTGTAGTCCTTCTATGAAGTGTATCGCCTCCCAAACATCACCTCCTCTCTACCATGTACCTCCTCGGCAAGCCAGAGGAATATCCTGCTCCATATTCTCACCTCCACTGCGCTGCACAACCCCATTAACGAGGGGAATGTTTCTGCAGTAACAGCCTCATTTGTCCTGCCTCTTACTCGGCACAATCAGGTGAACCCCAGTCCCAGCCACACGCTCCACAGGATCCCTACATCTCGCTGGAGCTGTGAGCTGGTTATCCCATTGATTCCGAGAACAATGTTGGGTTCCTATTGTTACCACTATCAGGCTGTAATTGGAGCTGGTGCTGCACAGACACATCGAGGACAAAAAAGAACATTTTCCTAAACATCTAAATTGTCCCAACGTTCCATGCAAATTCAACTCCTCTGTCTGTTCGACAACAAAACTGCAACATTATCACTGCACTGAATTACAACACTTTTCAAAATAGACTCAAGCATCAGTAAAAATCAGTGTAACTCAGGGAGACTAGAGAATCCTCACTTCAGGTGAAGGCGTGACTGAAAATAGAGTGAATTTCAGGTAACAGAGAACAGGAACAATAGCATTAAAGAGTGGAGCTCAATGCTAAAAGCACTGCGTGGGCGCCTGTGTGACGGACTCCAGTATTCTACTTGTTCCTTCCTCTGCTTTTCCACTTTTGCTATTTATGCCTTATGATGCTCCCTTTCACAAATTACTAGATGAGAATTTTCTCAGACACCCAGTCCTGCACAGTGCCGTGGGAAAACATGAAGAACAGAACCGAGACCACCCCCTCTGCACGGGACTTCCGACAGCACCAAACTTCCAAGTACTTCACAGAGCAAATTAAAAAAACTCCCGTTTTTTAACCGTGTATTTTATGCTATATATACACGTATCTTCCAGCTGCTGGAATTGATATGTTCTGCAAGGGAACTGTGTTTTCCAATCTCAGTTTAAATTTCTTCTTAACAGAGAGAGCTATAAAGAATTCATCAATATATTCATTGGATATATCAGAAGAACAGCAACTCACCTTCCTCTGCTTCTCATTTCTGCACGCTGGGAACACACCGTCTTTTATAATGTGAAATGGGATGCCTCATGATTTTTCTAAATGCACTTCTAACGTATGTCTGTCTGCAAATCTAGGGTTCAATAATGGAAAATCTCCAGAGAAACGTATTTTTGCAGCTGGAGCCTGCCTGCCAAAGCAAAGCCCTTATCATTGGGTTGAAATTAGAGGAAGGTTCGTTGACGGTGAATGGTCAAGCCACTTCCCAAAGCATTTCGGCAAGCTGACTCTGGGGCTGTGTTTGCTTGAAGGTACACAGGCTGCAAGGAAGAGGGGTGGTTCAGCAATCTGCTCGTTCTCACCACCCCTCTCCTGACCAGATCAGGGGAAGATCCAAGCGGGAACCAACCCAAGGAAAACAGGAGAAATCTCTGTTCAGCTGGATCAGTCCCCTTGATCTGGTTGATGATGCAACCACATCAGTGCCACTGCAAGCTCAAAGGAGGAGGTGAGAACAGGTGAAAAGTAGCCTCACCCAACTCGGTGGCTGCTCCCAGTTTGGATGGCACAGAATGGCTTTAAACATCAGTTTCAGAGACAAGAGAGACGGACCCACACTCATGGAGATATCACAGGCCCTCCCCTTCCCGTCAAGTAGCTTACCGAGACCCCTGGCGTCACGACACAGCAGTACTCATTGTGGAGGCCATGAGGTGCGAACCACTCCTCTCACAAGCAATGATCACCTGAAAAAAAGGAGAGAGGCAGAGCTTCAGCAGCAGGAACCACAGCCCAGCCAGCTGCCGCCCCTCCTTCCTAGCCCCAGGAGCGAGCAGAGGAGTTAAAATTCGTTCTGAAGCACTGGCAGGAGGGAGCCTCTGCCTAGGCTGGCCAGGTTCACCAGCAGCAAAAACGCCAGCATCAGGCCAGAACAGTCTGAAGATGTCGGCAGCGAGAGGAGGTGCGGAGGGGAAGTAGCTCAGACCTGCTTTAGCACTCCCACATTTGAGCTTGCTGGATTCCCATGAGCTCATCTGTGCTCTGAGAAGCTGGCACAAAGCTCACCCGAGCAACCTCCCCTTCCCTGCGCCCATGCCTCTTCAAAGGCTCGCCTTCCCCTCGCTGTGAGCCCAGCAACATCTGCCAAACCCCTGTGCTCCACACACAACCTCCTCCACAGCCAGACAAGCTATAAATAAAAACATCAAGCGTCAGGTAAAGCCAGGCAATTGCTCAGTGGCATCTAGGGGAAAACCAGGCAGGTTTTGGAAGGAAGACGGGCTCCTTGCTGTTCTGTCAGCCCCTACTGCACGTCACTGTGCTACGCTACAGGGAGAAAGGAATCCAACTGCAAACCTTGTGTGAGACAGCCTGCAAGCTTGCTCACGAGAGAGCTGCAGATGCGAGTAGGACCCCTTGTCCTACAGTTACTCCCTGTAAGGCCAAAATAGTTTGTAGCCCATGAGTGGATCAGCCACACTTTCAGTACTGGAGACATCCCTGCATCAAAAACTCTCGGTCACATCTTAAGGACAGACACAAGCACCTGAAAACTTAGCAATAGCAGGAAAGGCAGACTGAGGCTCGGCTCAGCGGTAAATCTGAGGTCAGGAGGGAAAGAAAAAGCAGCTACCTGCCAGCTTCTTCTACCTCATCCACTGAAAACTGGTGAGGCCGTGAGGGCAGCGAGAGCGCAGGGAGCATCCAGGCTGTCGGGGCCAGCGCGGTCCCCGAGCGCTCAGCTGTTTACACTGCGAGGATGGCTCCCCAAGCGCTGCCAGGGGCTTTCCGTGCAGCCTCCGTGCCTGCTGCTGACCAGATCCCTCCAGCAGGGAGGCAGGAGCTGCTGTGAGGCTCAATTAGCTACGCGTTGTGAAACCCTCTGCGCATTCTCTACCCTCCGACGTTCTCCAACTGTTATCTCCTGCAGCTTCACCTTACCAGTGGGGCAATACCTCGCCGCGTAATCCGCCTCGACAAAACCAAACTACAAAGCCAGGCCCAAACAATGGAGCTCCGTTCCCCACCCAGTCCAGCCAAATCAAACAATGAACTCATCGTGATAGACCGTCCTTATCTAGCCAGGTCACACCTGCAGCCCGAGCTGGAACAAACGCCCATCGCAACAAGCTGCTTCAGCCAGCACAACCTCCCGCAGCGGCCCCATCAGCCCTGCGCCCGATTCCCCAGCCAAGCTCCTCTCCCCTTTCCCCCACCCCACCCACCGAAACGACATCGGCCGTGCCATGTCGCTGCCAAGACTGGCGTGCTTGTGCCGGGCAGCGACAGACTTGCCTGCTCCCTTGGGAGGGCAAACGCCACCACCAGCACGCAGCGCGGTGGGGAGAACCCATCGGAGGGAATGGTCAGGTTCAGTTGGCAAAGCACCAGAGAAATATGGCCTTAAAAAAAAAAAAACATGGACCACAGGAGGGACACAACCAGACACAAGGCACCGCTGTGGCGGCCCAGACCCAGTTATCACGATGTTATTCCATCTTTGCTGCTCCCCGCACAGTCTTGGCCCACAGCACACAGGCAGCTACCGATACACGCTCAGCTGAGCTTACCTGGTGGCAACTTGCTCATGAACCATCTCCGATAACTGGCCACCCTATTGCTGTGATGCAAACAAGTCAAAAAAAATAAAAAAAGCCCACCCAAACTAGCTTATTCCCTCTCCCTGCCCTTGCACTGCAGAAGCGGCGCTCGCACTGCTTGGCAGTGACAAGTGGCCGGGTACGTGGAGGCGCACAGCATTAGGGCTGCTTCAGCAGGAGCAGCCATAGTTAGCACTGACTCGCTTCAGTCTTTTCTCCCTCTTTGAGGAGGAGAATGTGGAGAGATGAAATGAAGGCAGAGCAAGTAGATAAAAGTACCAACTTATGGCCTTACTGCGACACGAAGCATTAAAGGCAAGAAACCTCTTTCTTGGGGTACAAGAAAGAGCACGCTTCTTTTTTTTCCCCCCACAGCCTTTCCAAGGCTGTCAGTCTGTGCCGGACTGAGGGTGGCAAGAGCCCAACATCAGCAGAGAAAAAGAAAAAAGGCTCCAGATGTGCTGCTACAGACAGCAGGTGGAGACTCCGAAAGCAAGGAGAGCCAGCACACTGGATCAGCGCTGCGGCAGTGGGGTGAGGAGAGGAGGGAGAGGGTGGAGAGAGACCCAGAGCAGCAGCTGCAGGAGGGACTGAGAACAGAGGTGCCGGCAGCAGGGCACAAACAGGAGCAGTGGGCTCCCCGTGTGAGTGGGTTGTAGGGTGAAGTGGTGAATCAACCAGCGCGCTCCCTCAGCACAACTGTGCTGGGAAGGGCCCGTCCCATCTCCCCGACCCTCCTTTGACCACTTGTGAGGGAGAACAGCAGCACTGGCAGGGGGTGACCCCGCTGTACCCGGGACAGCCGCAGAGCTACCGCGGGGGCTCACCCCGTGCAGCACGGACCAGTTTTGCCTTGCTGCACACCTGCAGCCGAGCAGCACGCGTTGCTTTTTAATAAGCGGCTGCTGAACAAGGTGCTTGGTCACACACCTCATCGATAAGAGTGCAACCAGGAAACAAGGAGGACGCGGGAAGTGTTATTCAACGCTTTTATTGAGCAGTCAGAGGCCTTTAAGGTTGTGTGTAAGCGACTGTGTACGTTGACGTGAGTATTCTGACACCACGCACGTCTCCCCGTGACGCTGGGGGAGATGGGGACACGGGGCAATCTTCATTCCCTTGAACCAGCCCCAGTCTCCAGCTATGGCCCATACGCAGGGCTTGTAACTGCACCCTTACATCTGCCCCCTACCTCCTAGCAAAGGCTGTTCTCCTCATCCTCTCCCAGAAAAGTGTAAAGCACGTGCCTGTAACACAACTCGTGGTGAACCCACCTGCCTTACCTTCCACAGGCCCAGCACGTGCCGGACCCAGGAACCCAACTGCCATCAGCCTAAGGCCATCCAAGCCTTTCCCTTCCAGCCACCATGAGCACTTGTGACCAGGCTGAAAACTGACTAGAAAAGAGAGGATTACTTTTCAGCCACCCAGTGGCCACACGCTCACTGGTGCTGCAGTAAAGGAGGCAGCAGCGACTGGTGGTGCAGGCGTGGACAGGCTCAAGCTGGTTGTTCAAATACACTGCTGTTGTTCCCCTGCCTGCTCCCTCTGCACTTTTTCTTAAACGTAGGCAGAAAACACACTGGATACCTAAAGAACCCATGGGGCTGAAGACACGGGATCAATACACATCATGTGGACCCAGCATAACGCCACCCATCCAAGCAAGCAATCAGCAGCTGGCCTGACCAGTTACTGTCCTGGCTTTTTCAATAGCAGTGCTTGCAAGCCTCTTCCTCTAATCAAACTACACCATCATCGCTCCAAAGCCTTCCAGCTGCCGTGCGGATGTGCTCCTCCTGCCAGAAAGGCAGTGGCTGCTTGCTCCTGGGCACCTCAAATGGCACATGGACTGTACCCTGCCCCAAAGCTGCTGCTGATGTGGGGAAACTTGCAAGATCTGTCATTCCCTGGTATGCTGCAAATCCCACTGACTCACAAATCATTTTCTCAGCATGGCATGGGGCTGGGACAGGGGAGGGTCAGGCTGGGGGTTAGGGAAAGGTTCTGCACCCTGAGCGTGGCTGGGCACCCGGACAGGCTCCCCAGGGCAGTGGTCACAGCACTGAGCCTGCTGGAGTACAAGGGTTTGCACAACGCTCTCAGACTTAGGGTCTGATTTTGGGGTGGTTCTTTGTGGAGCCAGGAGTTGGACTCGATGGTGCTTGTGGCTCCCTTCCAACTCGAGATGTTCAGAATCACTGAGCCACTTTACTAACGCTAGGCTGACTGGACAGCAATGCACAGCCAGCCACCAATTTCTAGATGGCCCGCACTTACCCTGAAACAGCACAGACTTGGCCATGTTTATGTCTGGCTATAAAAAAGATGCCATACACTAGGTTCTCACGCCTTCCCAAAGCCTTAAGAAACTCCTTAGGCACAAGTCAGAGAAGTTTCCCTAGCATTACTTCTTTGCTGATAATCTGCTGGCAGCAACTCTCAATCAAAAGAAGAATCCCAAACTTGCCACCTAAATTCATTCCACTACATGAATGTGGGACCCAAACAATCTTCACCAGGCTCACTGCAACTAAGTGCCTGATGAAATCTTTCCTCATACACATAGTGTGCGTCCACCACCGCACTACCTGCTAAAACACAGGCAGGTTATTGCCCAGAACTAACTCCATGCACACAGAAAGGGGCTGAGCAAAGATAAGCACGCTTAATGTACATGGAAAATTTACAGCACTGACATGGAAAATGCAGGCACGAGACTATGCCATTACAAGGTTCCTTTGAGTAGCTCAGATTAATGTAAGAATTTAGGACCATGGGATGAACATCCCTGAAATTACAAGAACACACCTAACCAGCTCTATGTGAACGTGGTGTCTGTGGTCACACAAATCCAGCTCTTCTGGGCCTGTGTCTGTGCCCGCATACTTTGGGTAAAACAGCACTCACACTCTTCCTCCCACACTTTCCCCCCCTAACTCTGACCACCACACACATGAACATTTTTCAAAGAACCAGACTCCCCTGAACTCCTGAAGTCACAGAACCATAGGATGGTTTGGGTTGGAAGGGACCTTAAGGACCATCTAGTTTCTGTCCCGCTGCCATGGGCAGGGACACCTCCCACCAGCACAGGTTGCCCAAAGCCCCATCCAGCCTGGCCTTGAGCACCTCCAGGGATGGGG